AAAAACGGGAATCTTTAAAAATGGGGAATCTTTAAAACGAGGAATCTTAAGAGCGGGAATCTTTGAAATGGGGAATCTTTAAAACGGGGAATCTTTAAAAGCGGGAATCTTTAAAAGTGGGAATCTTTAAAATGGGGAATCTTTTTAACGAGGAATCTTAAGAGCGGGAATCTTTAAAATGGGGAATCTTTAAAACGGGGAATATTTAAAAGCGGGAATCGTTAAAAGCGGGAATCTTTAAAATGGGGAATCTTTAAAACGGGGAATCTTTAAAAATGGGGAATCTTTAAAAGCGGGAATCTTTAAGAGTGGGAATCTTTGAAATGGGGAATCTTTAAAACGAGGAATCTTATAATTAAGAGCAGGAATCTTTAAAATGGGGAATCTTTAAAACGGGGAATCTTTAAAAGCGGGAATCTTTAAATATTTAGAACTAAAGGACGCTGTTTGTTAGGTTGGACTAATGTCAGCTTTATTAATCATTCGAAGCACATTAAGCACATTTTGTTGAATTCGAGAAAACCCATTTTAGGAGGGATTTTTTTTATTCAAACCACGAAAACATGAAGGAAAGTGAATTACAAATTCGAAACAACGACGACATAAATATTATTTCAAATATCATCTATGACAAGTAAAAGAAAATAATAATATAATAATGACGTACCGAAAGACATCTTTCGGGCGACCTTCAATAACAGAAACAGTAACAGTAACAACAGCAATATATGTTTTCCTTTTTGTACATTAAATGGTCCCAAAGATAAAATCAGGTTTAAGTTTTTAACCACTACTATCGAAAACCATATTTACACACATTGTGCTAACGGTCAACCCGAACAAGAAGAAGAGGAATGCAACTGTAAAACAAAACACGACTCTAAACTATGTGCTTTTGCGTGTGTTCACGTCTAGGTTGATATAAATATCCTTTCTTTGCTTAATGAACTAAATCTAAATAGTAAGAGATCGACTAGCCTGTTGCTGGCTACCTTCGATGATTAACAAAAGTCGTCTTTGTTTTCCTTTGCTATAAACGCGCATTCCCGCTTTTAAAGATTCCCGGTTTTAAAGATTCCCGCTTTTAAAGATTCCCCATTTTAAAGATTCCCCGTTTTAAAGATTCCCCATTTTAAAGATTCCCGCTTTTAAAGATTCCCCGTTTTAAAGATTCCTCGTTCCCCGTTCCCCATTCACCGATTCCCCGTTCCTTGTTTTAAAGATAGCCCAAAAAATTCGGCCTGATTTGTTTTCCAAGAATTTGTTTTCCAAGCCTTATCGACTGTGATCAAGAGCCATTATTGCTCTTAAATGTGACCGGAGACAATTTTTTGGGTGTACATATAAAGCTATATCGACTCAATACAAGATTTGTTTCACTACAAAATCACTTAGCTTTTCCCTCAAAAGTCACATGAATGTGCCCGTAAGTTAACTGATTTGTGGAATACAAAATTATTGTTTGATTTAAGTTATAAATTTATCAATGGGAGCTTCGCTTTTACCTGTGGCTAAATCTATTTAGTATATACTAAAACAGTGGATAGAGTTTTTCACGCGCTCTGATTGGCTACTCAATCAGTGAATATCCTGCACTATTCACTGATTCACCTCCAGTTCCTCCGAGCGAGCGACGCCAAACTCGCGTAAGTTGCGAGCAAAATGCCTTCCCGGTTTGCTGCCGTAAACAAACAAAGAAATTTCACAACTAATCAAGCAAGCTGTTTCCAAAATACAAGAAGATGGTGACGAAGTTCGGATTGGAAGTTTTAACAGGTAAAGCTTTGTCTTTTTGACACGAATTTATCGATAAAATCGGTGAAAAAATTTTTGTTTACAAATGCAAATTAAGTTTAAGTCTTGCGTTACTTTATTTAGTTGAGTTGTTCATAAATAAGCTTAAAACTAAATTTAATAATCTTTTGTTATAGAATGATTTTAAATACAAAAAGAATGCACACCTCTTTTTGAAGAAATTTCCCCGCAAGAGCTAAACAAATGTCTGCTAAAGTTTTAATTGTCGGCAAGAAAAAGCGACGGCCGCGGCCGCCCGGTCATTACGCGCCAAAATTGTAATCGTTGGCAACAGTATTTGAGTTAAAAATCATCATTTTTGTGCTCAATTATCTCACTGTTTTAGTATATACAGAGCGCACTAATCCTGATAATTTTTTGGGTGATTTTTCGGCAGGCACAGCAATAACAATTGATGAAGTTGGCCCAATTCACCTTAAAGTTTTGATCAATGTCCATCCTGGCCACTCACAGCAAGAGATCCGTAACAGGAATCAGTTCAATGTCTAAATATTGTCTTCAATAACAAAACTGGGCCATTATTTTTGAAAATCAATTGAAGTGAAGACAGCTAAAGATAGGAAAAAGCGTGGCATAGCCCATTTGAAATCCTTGATAAAACTGGCTGAAATTCTAACATGTAATCAAAGTAAACAAAGAGGACCCCTACGACATAATTGCTTAAAAAACAACAGCAACAACAAGATGGCTTAGCGACAGATTCAGTGTTCACACCACACCGGGTAGGGATTACCCTGCGAGCAGTGGTTTCTCCAGGCCGGACGCTACGAGAAACCACTGCTCGCAGGGTAGGTAGGGATTCTGTTCCTCACATAAAAACGATGATTTCGGCGCGATTTCTGTGACAGAGCGAAGCTTCGCCATTTGTTGCAATCAGTCCCTGTCACATTTTATGAGCTCATTTTAACCCAAATTTTTGTTAAACCCGGGCTTAATGGCTTAAAAGCAGCTACGCCTGCCCACTGGTTCAAGTTTATCCATGTAAATGGTAAAGAACCCGCGATATCTTTTATTTCATAACATGTTCACTAAAAAATACGTATCTCGAAGACCCTCGCAAACGGCTCTACGGAAAAGAGATACAACAGACTGAATAAAGGGGGAGAAAACCCACCTACATGTGACTTTTTGCGCGAGTTGAAATAATCGCGACATGCGTACAACGACTAAGTCTTTTTAATAGAAGAGACGTTTCAGCTGACTGTGCTATCGTCGTTGCTGAAGTTCCCTTTTTCCTGATGCAATCTTCTGTTTTACAATATCTGTTTCCAAGACGCTCTTGTAAATACTAAACACTTGAATGACCATTGAGAGATCTTTTTCTAGTTTAAACGAAATTTAAGAAAGCTAGAATATGCCGTAGTTAGCCTTATCTACGTCGTCTAATATTCGTCTGCAGCTTTCTCCATGCACTATAGACGGGTATCGTCCACAATCGTCCTTCTGGAAACTGTTTGGGACGCTGAAAAAAAAAGTAAATATATAGGTCTAATAAAATACGCGATATATATACAATCATCATTGGTATTTTATTGTTGTCATATGATGATCTTTTTTTAACGCTACTTGAATCTTTTTGCAGCTCTAACGGACGAATAAAAGTTTAAATTTTTTCTAAACTCTGACTGTAATCTCCCTCACTTTCTGATCAAATGGCAGACACACATAATACGATACGTTCCTTTCCAAAAAAAAAAAAACTCTAAAAGTATAATAATAACAAGTCTCACCATTTTCTTTGTAAATGGGTTTTGAAGCATGGAGCAGCAAAACAACCAATAAGCTAATGGCAGCGAGAGAGCCTGGTACGAATGAAAACACATGACGCACGTAATCCCCACACTCGTTGCAGTTTTCAGCGTTACTGCAAAGAAAAATTAAACTCGGTTTTGCAAAGTGTCAGTTCCTCAAGCATGTTAAATATTTGCCCTTTCTTATCTTAGATTTCCTGTGATTAAAACTGTTTGGTTGTAGTGGAGGAAATGCTCTTTTGGTCTTAACGAGGACTAAAAAATTAAAACGAAGCAGAAATAATTCAAGGTCTGTATATTCATGAAGTTTTCTGATCTTATCTGTGGTCAGCGTTACTGCAAAGAAAAATTAAACTCGGTTTTGCAAAGTGTCAGTTTCTCAAGCATGTTAAATATTTGCCGTTTTCTTATCTTAGATTTACTGCGAATAAAACTGTTTGGTTGTCGTGGAGGAAATGCTCTTTTGGTCTTACTTAACGAGGACTAAAAAAATGAAGCAGAAATAATCCAATCTTTACTGAACCGTTCTACTTAGAGGTTATTTTCTCGCCTAATAAAGAACAAGACGGAGGAGGCCGGGCCTCCAACGATTGAACATCAGATTAAAAATTTGAGGAATCGCAGATTTCGGGATTTTTTACCTCCGGCTGGTCGCTACTCTCCGCAACTTTCGGAAGTTTATCGAACAGACCTCATGTTTGGAAGAAGTTAATAACTCAAGGCCCAAGGAGTGTTTGGAGCATATGATTAATTGGCAATATTTCTCGCTAGGTTACCAACAACAAGACGCATTTTTCCCTAAAAGTTAATCTCGAGGCCTTCTCAGTTGTGTCTTAACATTATAGTCACGTGATATGTCACGTGACCAAAAATTAAGCATGGTGAAAATTGGCTCATTGGTGGCGAATTTACTTTGTTTGGATAAATAAATTGACGTTTCCGACAGAAGGAAAACATTTTTTTCTTTCTAAGTTTGGAATGAACGTACTCGAACTCTCAAATGAAAGTTTCAAATAATTCAAGATTGAATTTGGGCATTTAATTTTTTTTTCTCTCAAAAATTTTTATTAAAGGTTATTAGACAGTAATTCCAAACGTGAAGTGTTACACATATTTAATATAAGTGAGGAAAATGTTATTGCTTGATTTCTTTTCTTAAACTCGCTCTCCCACCAATTTCTCAATTATTGAATATTTTAAGAAAAGTGGTCATGTGAAATATCACGTGATTTTTTAACAAAAATAATTATATTTTAAAATGTTAAAGACAATGAGTTCTTTTTATGCGCCAAGTTTTGATAAGTTCCATCTGGCATGTCGGCCGAAGTTATAGCCGTAGTTATAATTTCCCACAGGTAAACCCATTAGATCGTGAGGCCTTTATGAGTACCAGAGTGGAGTTATGCTTGCTATAAAAGTCTGGAAAGTGCACAATTACCTTCCTTCAGGAAACAAATTCTGTATTGTGGTGATCAATGTTCCGCTAGTTAGGTATGACATCAAACTCATAAAAGAAAATACGATACCAGATGTGCTCTATAAAGTAGAAAGAAAATACCCGATCAGCAAGAAATGATATTCCAAAACCAAAAAGGAGAAAATTAATAAGTATTTTTAAAATGTAAGTATTTTTTTAATCAAAGGGTTATGGTGTCACATGGCTATTCTTTGTAGTTTTTTTTAAAAAAATAATCTTAATCGTCGTCCCTTTCTTCGGCATTTAAATGAGTGAACTCACTTTGTTGTCTCCAATGAGTTCTGCAGCGAAGCTTAGTGCATTCACGAGCATGGCGGAGAATCCAAAACCCAGTAACACAGTGGCTGGGTAGGTCATTACTCTGTTGGACTTGGTGATGAAATAAAACCATACACCAGCTGTAATCACGAAGAGGGCAGCAAGGACAAAACACCACTGGAAAAAATGAAAACACGAGAGTTAAAATTAACGTAATCAAAGTTAACTAAACAATTTTGGTGGTCTTGTCAAAGGAAAAGCAAATCATTGTTCTAGATTCATAGCGTAAATTTAGAGCCGTAACAAATGAAGCTAGTTATCTCCAAATGAGGGGTGCAAAAGGTACAAGGAAGAAAGTACATATTTTTTTGGTCTGCAAAGAGTCTCTTATTTTCTTCAAAGTTACGGTGGTGGCGCCCACGAGCGGTGAGATGACGAAGCTGCGAGGGGCGAAAAACGTAGGCGTTAGTTGTGACTAACGGATCTAAGAGAAAAATCGGATTGCCAGTAGCCTTTAATTTCACCTTTTCAGTTTCAATTCCAAACAAGGTATTTTCACTGTTTTGAAAAATTTAGAAATGCAGCAGGATTTGGTGTGATTAAAAGGAAGCCCTGGACCCGGCCTTCCATACAGTTACACCGCACCCATACACTCCATGCAATGCAAACCAGCGATGAAACCGCAATTTTCTAACGAGCATTCCTGAAGCACAACTGGACCACTTCAGTTTGAAATGTCCGTAAATCCAAGACAGAACAAGATAGGGAGATGTATTTCTTCATTGCTAAAAGTGCGTTTTGCTTTTTCGTTTATCGGACAATAATTTTTGAAAAACCTAGGTAATGATTCTTACCTTGCTTCCAATTATGGCTACAAGTTTCTTGGACAGTGCCGAAGACAATGCTGCACTTATCAACATTATAAGTGGCAAATACGCTATGGCCTCCTATTCATCAAAGCGTAGAGCAAAAATTATTAAAAACCTAGCACCAACTTGATGACGACGTTTTAGTGAAACACAAGACCGTCAATATCTCTTCAAAGCAACCCATCTCCTAGACTAAGAGTAGTCCCCATTTTTCCTCAGGGATAGTGGAGTGAGCGAAACGCGAGCGCGCGTGAACGTCACCCCACGCGAGAAAGGCGAGACGCTCTCTCCCAGCCGCACCGGGGATTTTCACGCGCGCTAGCGTTTCGCTCGCTCTAATGGGGACTACTCATAGTGTACCAATCTACAATACATGCAGGTATTACCAAAAGCAGATTGAACTAACAGAATTGAAATGAAATTCAAAGCGAGACTATCTGAGTATATCTGGCCAATTCTTTGAATAAAGGTATCCATATGGTCTATAGTGTCCAATACGGGTGCGGTATATAAATACAGAACTTGTAATAAATGCTTCATGCATGCTCCTGAAAATGGCTTTGCAGACGTGGCACTGCGTGTCTAATTTAGCAATCCAGGCTTGAATTGCACCATCGTATCCTTGCATTACTTATTTATTGCATAGTGTTGTATTTCAGTGGTATCTCGGTATATAGTACGTGTGCGCGTACAATTTTATTTTGAGCGGGCGCATTATTTGTTTATTTATTTAATTGACGTGTACATTTAGTTCGTTTATTAACGTCTTAATTTTACTTTGCGTTATTTTCCTCACTTACACATTGTCCGTGACTGTGCTCACATGGTGGGTGGCTCCTCCTAAAATGTTCTGCAATTGGTATAGGATTTAATGGAGCCGAAACAAATTGTGGAATTGCACGCATTTTAGGCATCCTACTGATGAACAGTTGCGACACGTAGATGTATATTTTTTAGCAACTAAGATAATTTGCAGTCTGTCCACTTTGAATTTGATTTGTTTTGTTAGTATATACCCTACCTTTCCAAACTGTACCCTGTAGATAAGAAACAATGGAAGGTAGGCGTACGCCTGGCTTATGACAGACATTGCACACGTGAAGATGATAGCGACCTACGTGAAAAAAAAAAAACAAACAAACAAACAAAACAAAACAAAACAAACGAACAAAACAAAAAGGACAAAATTGTTGATCACAACTGGATGGGTAACTCATTCCATGCAGAAAATCTTACTAATACCAACAAAATAAAGCAAGAAACCCCCAAAGAACCTAATTCACCTTATACAGATGTGGATCCTTGAGCCAGGCTCGTACTGTTTTAGGTT